TGTGTGTGTGTGTGTGTGTGTGTGTGTGTGTGTGTGTGTGTGTGTGTGCGCGCTCACTCGGTGCGTTAGAGCAGCATCCTCACCGCCAGCTCTCCCGATGGGCTCCCCTGGGACAGCGCGCCCCGGTCCTCTCTACATCCTCCAGAAGGCTCCGGCCTCTCCTCACAGCCTGCCGTTCCGCTCCTTCTTTGGCATCACACCAAAAATATAAATATAAATAAACATTCAAAAATAAAACTGAATAAAAATCACAGCATGCCAAGTGAGGTGGATTTCTGGTAGGGGTTTTGCAGCCGTCCTTCTCTCTCTGGTTGAAGTGACACCAGCGGATTTCTATTTGAGGGGGGGATGCTGACGCGCAACCGGAGGGGCTCGCCTCCTACCTTTTTTCATCTGGCTCCATCAGCTCTCCGTCAGCCCGGACCACGTGACTCAGAAGAAACGTCAAGGCTGATYGGGTGGCCCCCTTCTCACTTCCTGTGAGTACTTTCAAAATAATATGCCCCCTCTTCCGAAAAAGAAAAGTGAGGGCCAGTCTCGTGTCTTATCGCGAGAATTCACGCTCCAGTTTATTTGTCAGCTCCTACCACATCAAATTTTAGCTCAATAGCTGTACAAATCAACTAAATTATTTGATTAATAAATGTATGTATRTGAATTGTTGAACACCTGTTTTTTTTCTTTTGTAAATTTGTCTAAGGCTAAATGTGTTGCAGTTCATCAAATGTATKTATTTATGCTTTATTTGCCTACTGTCCTGATTAAATAAACATGCACACAGTTATAGCTAATCTAATTACACTTTATTGCTCTTGTAGTTGTAGTTGTTTTGTTTTGTTTTGTTTGTAGAAATTGAAAAATATTGGGTTGTTTTTCTGTTTATTTAGCAGAAAAGTGACCATATACAATTTTTTATACATCAGATATTTTAAGGGGGAAAAAAGACCAAACAATTAAACTAGAGTTTATCATCTCTCATCAAGAAATACAAGAAAAAAACAAACTATAACCTTCAATGATATGTGGAAAAAAAGTCAGCTACTGAAGAAGTTTATTCTGAAAGATCATTATTTTGTAGCACATTCCCATTTCTTTCATTAGGTCGCTGTTCTTGCTCTAAATTCACAAAATTACAAATCTGCTTTCAACGAATATTTTATTTTGAAGAGAGTTTCCCAAAATTCGCAGATTCTCTGGTTTGTTGCTGCTAAGACGCACCAGTCACCTCACCATTCAACCAAATCCGACCTCACAGAGAGCGCCCTCAGGTGGACATTGTTAGAACAACACCAAGTGTTTTTAACCCAAGAGACCACTTGACCAGAGTCTGATTCCATTTTAAAAAATCACATGTTCCTTATAATATTCGTTGTATTAACTTTATCAGGGGTTGAAATTTTCATTATGGCAAAGAGAACACACACACATGCCTAAAGTGTTAAAGTTTAACGAGTGTGTGCTTAAAAAAGAAAGCATTTGTGTGCTTGTTTGACAGCAGCTATAGTTAAGAAAAAAGTAAAATGTACATGGCAGCTCATTTTAAAACAATAATGTTGTGATACTTTTGCTGTACAGACAGTTGCATCAGTGCAAAAGAACTTAAAGACATCCTCATTTAGACCCTGCRTCATTTCAGTCTGAATAATGCAAACATTTTAGTTAAGTTTGTGCTAAGAAATAGTGTTTCTGTAGAAATGAGAGCAGACATAACCTGCTTTGTTGTCAGCCTTAAAAATACTAAACTAGCTGTWTGATAATCGGGACTTTGAGAGTCTCAGCGTGAGATTTTTTCTCCTTTTTTGACAAGTGTTTAAAATGTGTGAAAGGGAGAAGGAGAAAGAAACAACAGCCTGAGATGCTTTCAAAGAAGGACAAAAAAAAAAAAAAAGAAGAAGCTTTGTCCTTCAGAGGTCTTTTTCTGCATTGTTGTCCACCACAGGCCAGACTCATGGGTCTCCTCCACAAAGCAGGTCCCCTCCGAGCAGAGCTCCACTGGCTGTCCTGTCACTTCACATTAGTGTCTTTGTGGAGAACAGCAACCCTGGAGGGCTGCACTTGTCATGAAGAAAGTAGCGTGGACACACACACACACACACACACACACACACACACACACACACACACGGTGAAGAGTTTAAAAAGTGTCGGGCAAAACGAGAACACACTGCAAAACCTCCATCAAGCCTTTTAATAAAAGTATTAACAGTGACCTTATTTCAGGCTCTCGTAGTTTCAGTCAACCACAAACACACACACACACACACACACACACACACAGATTTGTCTTTATATCCCCGTAGGGACCATGGATTGACTTCCATTCATTTTTTGGTAATTTTATATCCTAACCCTGACCATTTACCCTAAAATTAACCTCACACAGGTGCCTATAACTGACACTAAAACTAACCTAAACTCAATTAACTTAATCCTAAACCGAACCCCTGACCTACAAATGGTATTTTCCCCGATGGAAACTGGGGTTTTGTCCCCATAAGGAACAGTGGGTCCTCACCAGACTGTGTGTACCAGGAAAATGGTCAAAAATTGTCCATATCAGGCAACAAAAACGTACACACACACATGCACAGGTTTGGATTTCTCTGTATTAGGAAATTGTATTGATTCAGTTAATTTCTGTGACCTAAAGACCTTTACCATAACCTAATCATCCTAATATAAACTCAGTTTACACTTAAGCTCTGTAGGAAAAAAATGAGGTTCCAACGTACTAGGATAGATTTTGGCTCCCATAAGGACTGCCGGTCCTGGCAAAATATGATTGTACCAGAAAAGGACCAAAAAAGGTAACAGAAAACAACAGCCATTCAGATGTTCTCATAAGAAATGCAGCTGTGAAGGAGTTGAGATTCATGCATGGAAGAAGCCCAGCTTCACTCCTGTGTTCTGTTMTCTCTCTCGCTCTCATTGGTTTGAWATGGAAAACATTMAAWTAAAACAGGTTTGGTCTGCCAAAGAATCAAGAGCTGCGCAGGATCCCACACGACTTGATCCAGCGAAACGTAAAAAAAGGATGCATTTTGGAAAAAGACAGTAAMTTGTTAATTTAGTGGAAAGAAGATTCTCAGCTCAGGAGACGCTGACAAACAAATATGTGACTGGAAAAAAAAATCTCTCAAGAAGATGCAAGAAACTGAGACTTCAGTTGGAACCATTTAACCTATTTTGTAAAAGTGTCTGTGCCAGTTGTGCAAGGTGTTGCATAACATTGTGTGTGTGTGTGTGTGTGTGTGTGTGTGTGTGTGTGTGTGTGTG